TCTATTCCATAGAGCAACGACGAAATTGGTCAGTGATCGCGAAGACATTTATTTTGTTTTATTTATGCTAGGTGGTTACATACATAAGATGCTGAGTTTAAGGCTAGCAGCGCTAGTCAATGATAGAGTCGTGCAAGTGGTGGACGGACTTAAGTGAAATTGAATAATTATTTGGATAGATGCGGGTGATTCACATATTGATGAAATTAGCCAGCTAAGATGAGAGAGAAGGATGATGTTACGTAAAATACGCCAAAAAGTAGACCTCATGCCAAACAAATATTTCATTTGGAAAAGACTACTGAAGAAATAAGAAAGTAGCTAACGGTTATGATTGTACAAGGAGGATGGATGACGTTCTGTTGTGTCCAAAATCAATTCAGAGTTAAGGCCGTGGTAACAGTAGCCGTCGTACTAGCCTATTTTACTTCCTTATCTGTCGCGTGAAAATGCAAATTGAAATGGGTAAAAGGTGCCTTCTTATTCTATCACTAAATCTTCATGTTATAGTATATATTATTTTAAAAGCTTTGAATATGTTCAAAGAATGCATGTTGTTGATTAGATGATGCAATGCATCGAAAATAAATTTCTTCGCAAAAACCATTTCGTTCAGCGTTTGCGGGAATACTGTGAGATTTGAAATTAGGCAGCTCATTGGCCAAGGATATTGGAAAGTTTTGCGATCTGTGTCTGAAGAACCTCAATGTATTTTCCGAGCAAAACAAATCTACTTCGTCGATCAATTTACCGCCATTCTGGCGATTGCTAATAACGAAATAAATAATGTAAACTGTATTTTTTATCTTTTGTTTTTACCTACTTTTATTCAATACAAAGCGGTACAGTCTTTATTAAGGGGAACCGGCCAATCAAAATAGTTCCGTACAAGATAGAGAGAGTGACGTCGCTGTCTCCAAAACCGTTGTAGATCATGATGAATGCAAGGTATTCGCCGCTTTAACTATCTTTCATCGCAATTGAATGGAACAATATTTAAAATTGAAATTCGCTATTTCGGTGGAAACACATATTCCGAGAAACGGTTTCGGTATGAACAGACACCTGGAACTTAAAAAGGCTGAGTTCTGTATTTATCGTCTTAGTATTAAACTGAGGGCTTCATGCATGAAGGCGATCAAAACAGTATATTTAAATTCCAGTTCATCGAACAATAGGCATTTATAAATAATGGTAACCAGTATACAAAACACTGTAATTGCCATAAATTCGGTTTATCCCGCTTAAAAGAGTATACTGATGACTAGCCGTCTGTGTCGTTTCGAAGTATCTTTAGGGTGTGATGAATCGAGACATCGGCTCCGGTTTTTCTCATTCTACGGAGGCAGTGTTATCGCGTGACGCACAGCGGTAACGATGATGTGATCATTCAAAATGTTAGCGGGTCTCTCGGAACACACATGATACAGGTTTTGATGAGAAACACAATTATTTGAATGAAACTGCCCAACTCAGTCCACTGACCGCTTTGCAAATTTCCTCTTTTGGTTTACCGCACGTCTATTTGCTTTGGTTTACAAGTTCGCCAACAGCTAAAATTGGTGTTCCTTAGACAACACGGTCAATGCATAGACTAATATCTTTGCGCTTCCCTGGCGTCTGGACATGCCGTGAGGTTAAGTGGGTTGCTTTCATCAAACTTTCAACACACGCACTCTTTTTAAAATGCATCGATTCGCATAGTCATGGTTTCCTTCGTACATCTGACAAGAATCATACAAATAGTTGGATCCGGAAAGCTTACCTCCAAATTTAAAGAACTCGAGGAAGTTTGACTACCAAAACAGAGTAACGGAATCTTTGTGGGCTGACTTTCGAATTGGAAGTCAAGTCAAGTATCTGCTTCATACACCCCGACAGGTGAACATTCAGCAGCCATATATTCAGCCAACAATAATCGAATAAAACTAACATAGAAATGCATTAGGCAAGGAGAGACGAAAAAAAATTACGATATGAAAGGAGTTCAGTTCCGAAGCGATGCGTTCTAGGCTGGCAAGAAATCGGACAAGATAAGGCACCCCAGAGGATCGATAGACAGTCGCATGAGCGAATATTCAGTTATAGCAGGCCTGGGTGGAGGAGATGAAGGACACACACCTAACAAGATCTTGATGTAACGGATGTGAACGGTTGTCTATGATTTTGTTGATAACGCAACGCGTGAGTTTGAATGTTGTGAAATGATGAATTGACAGAGTGTTCCACCGGAAATCCCGCTACTTCTTGATAACTTTGTTAAGTCTATAGAAAGCAATTGAAAGTCCTTATTGAGCATCCGTGGAATGATTACAGGGGACCCATATAACTATGGGGGTAAAATAAAAGCAAAACGAAAACGTTTGATCAAAAAGCGAGGGACGGATAGTGCATGCTTGTTGAGATAAGATATAAAACGATAATTTCCTGACCTTTCCAAATATAGAAACAGCTTCCTCAGACCGTCATACACTTCGGCTTTTTAACACACCGAGATACGTGCAATTTAGAGATTGGATAATAGTATCATCGCGTATGTTCAACCTGCAACCGGATTCCAGGAGACTAGCATAACGATTCCCTCTGTGAAGTGAGAGCAGCATGTCTACGCATTTGAAGCTATTGAAGTTGAGTTATGCTCAGTGGACCACTCAGCAAGGTTAGTAAGGCCAAGTTGCAGCGTGGGGTGACAGATGCATCAGGGTGGGCGATTCCGACCCTAACATCGTCTGCATATTTAACGAGCAAGGAACTTTGAAAAGTAGGCACGGATGAAATATAAGTGAAAAAGAAAAACTGGGGTAAAATGGCGCCCTGTGATACACTTAGTGTAGAGAATAGAAGAAAGGAGGAGCGATCAAGGTAACGTGTAAACTGTAATCGATTTATGAAATAGTCTTTGAGTACCGCAGTTATGGATTGCTATATCCCATCGGAGGACAATATATACAACAACTTAGACCTGTCAGCACAATAGAGGGCGTCACTGTAATCGTATAAACAAATTCTGACATCTTTCTTACTTCCGTCAAATGCTGAAAGAACACAGTGAACCAGAGAAGTTAGGAAGTCTAGTGTGGAGCGAGAGCGGTAATACGTTAACTGGTTTTTGTCCTGCACATTCAGCTGAGATGACATTCGTTGAAGCGATGAGTTCTCGAAAAGCTTCAACACAACAGATGTATATGAAATTGGACGGAATGTTGAAGTGCTTCTTTTAGGCAGTAGAGTGATTGATGGAGGCCGATTTCCAACAATCAGGTCTAATTTCGTTTTCCACGCACTGGTTAAACAGAGCTGTTAGCACTGGTGAAAGTGTGTGAGCACACTCCTTAAGGATGGCAGCTCCCTACCTTTCCGAACCGGATGATGTATTCCTTTTTGAGTGTTAGTAACTCTTTTAGAACATCCTGTTGTCGAATAGTAAAGGGTTCTTTCTTGCTGGGGTCGATTTTTGCGCTGATAATGCCAGGCCCCGTCTCAGTGTAGTTGGTTCTTTTGTTGAACCTTCTATTTCGTTCCTCAACGCCTATTATTGTTAGAGAGATAATTCAGAAATGATCAGTTATTTTTGCTTGATGGTGTTCAAGATCTCCCGGCAGGTTTTGTTCTGCATTACTGTGCGAGTGTGAATGCCATTCAGTCGACGCAGCTCACCTTCGATTGCAGGAGATGAGGAATTCACTCTTTGAAGATGTTTGTCTTTGTACGTCTGTTCCTTGCTTTGGCGTCACCGCTTCAGATGAGGCGATGCGATGCGGTCTAATCGAAGGTATAGCGTCTCCCAGGGGTAGCATATATCGTAGCAAAAGTTTAGATACTGTGCAAGTTGATCACAGTAGATGAAAGGATTAGTGTGGTAGAACACCCTGAAGTCACGTCTGAGAGACCATCACATGGAGTTTCTTTAGGTTCGCTTGGTTACAACAACGTTTATTTCTTTTTATATCACGGCTTTTGTGAACGATATGTGATTCACTTTTCTGTACACGTTTGGGGCAACTTCAACAAGGTTATGGTCTGAATACCCAATAGGGAAACAGGTAGCTACGAAAAAAATACGGGCATTATTTATAAACACTCGTCTAACTGAGCACGTGGTCTCGCTGGGAAGCTCACTATGTTTGTCAAACCCAGAACAGACAAGAAGCTGTAATCAACACTGTTGCAGTCACCACAGACGATACATTGCACGAAAACACGATAACTCATTAGAGCTATAGAAATAGTATCTGTTCCTCGGAGGGACAAGAAGGGAAAGTATAAGGGTTAGCTAAGACAATCGACCGATAGTTACTGAGGTGCTTAGGCTTGCATTCATGTACGGAAGCACATATGTGACCAGGGGAATGAGCAAATGTTTGCTTCATATTCTTGCACCAATTGTTGTTGATATAAGTCACCAGGTCTCCTCCACGCTTCTGATACGTTGCCGGAGGGTCGACTTGGTATCCAGTGAAGCCATCGATTTTAATGATCTCCCAAACAATATCACTATTTAATCAGATCTCTTGTAATAGAATTGCGCCTAAATTATAATGCCATAGGGCGTAAAAGATCAAATATATTGTAATTGTCCAGGCATTGAACGGATGTTGTTGCTGATAATAATGGGTGGTGACAAAGCTTTTTGACTCAGTGTTACTCTCCATCCACCCTGATACCTCCTCCAACGTCCACCAGGGTCTTTGTAAATCCTTTTGTATTCATTTTTCATTGATTTTCCAAATTCAAGTACATTCGGAGGCAAATTAGAGCCATTGATGTTTTTAATGAAGGTGTTATGATATTCCTCGACTGGCGTCATCTTAATTGCACAATGCATCTATGGAAACGACCCATTAAGCAAATTGATGTGCATAACCAACAAGAATGTCAGGTTTTTGAAAACATTTTGTACGAAAACTTTTTATAGTACTTGTTCATGCAGTTGATTAGTTTGTTAACAGAAGAGCGTCTAACACATTTCAATATGTGCAAACTGAACTTATGGAAAGGCATCATATCTCCGAGCTCGAACCTAATTTATCGTTTTGTTCACAGGCATTATCTTCATCATCGTTATCATCATCATCATCATCATCATCGTTATCATCATCATCATCATCATCAACATCATCAACACGATCATCATCCGAATCATCATCATCATTATCATCATCATCATCCTTGTCATCTTTGTCATTATCCTGATTATCACAGCGATGTGCCTTTGCACTTCTCGCTCAATGTTGCATGAATGAAGGATCCTCATTTTTTGTTTATAGTAATTTTATTGCCTTCAATCGCTGTGAAATCAATGTGTTCTAGTTCTGTCTGTATTCATCATGGACGTTAACCCAGAGGACTGGTTAAAATTACCTAATTCGCCCTTCCGTCGTACAGACGAACGCATATCCCACTGCAAACCCACAAAGTATACACCGATTAGACGGATGAAAAGCAGTCTGAATGCGCCATCTGTTCAACATGTTTTTTTCCATTGACTGCAGTGTAAACATTAATATATCCGGGTGCGTCTAAACCGCAAGCGGTTATATGCTTGTTCCCGGGATAGGTAAACAGGTGGCCGTGTTACTACTCTTCAGATCTGTGGGCAATATTTGCAGGGTATCGTTCCATCAGTGTTTTAAAGTCTTCTGTTGGATATTTAAAAAAAAACAAATGTTAGAAATCAGGTGATGTGAAACTGTTTTTGCAATTCACACATAAATCAATATGACAATCATTCATTCCGATTCGAGTTGTTTCAATGACAGATGTGGTACTACTGCTCTGCCACAATGCTTCTTTGCAATAGATGACAGAAAACACATATGTTTTGGTATTCTTTTGACTAACATGCGGCGGCCGTGGTCGAGTGATTAAGGTCTTCAAATACCAACTTGGTTGTACTGAGTTCGAACTCTCGCTACCCGTCTTCCTCATTTCTATATATCCCCAAGCAGGTTTCATATAGCTGCAACCCCCCGTCTAGAAAATTACTGTATATTTGCATACTACATGATCAATGTGATCAAATAAGGAAATATAAGTGTTTCTTTCTTTATTTCTTTCTTCCTTACAACGTTTTGTTCTTTTGGATCTAGACACGCATTACAAACATTTCTATATTCGTGTTTTACGCGCAAAACATGAACCAGTCAAAAAGTAGATATAAACATAGGGCAGGCTTATGTCTGAATGGAAGGCCTTTAACTTGGTACAGGATGGTTATGCCTCTCGATTTCATTTGCATCTATATCTCGAGAGAAATCACGTGTTCTGCAAGGAAAAGTACAAAATACTGATTGGATCCACCTCAGAGCTCCATTAAATAGAATCAATAATTTAGAAATTACAAATGTGGTACTTCGCTTCAGTCAATTATCCGTCATGCACAGCAGAAGTTGATGGGCGCGATGTCTTTCCTAATTAGAGAGGCCCTCGTTATTCCCGTGGTGGGGATGCTTTCCTTAAGAAATGTAGATAAAATGTTAGGGTATCCGATCAGTGCAGTCGATTACTAGCCCACCACTGTTGCTATATTCAGTCAGTTGTAAATGTTTCAAGGAAGCACAGATAGACGTATGCTGTCAGGTACTGTCAAGGTCTTAAGAACAGACATGTTGCCAAGTGATTCAGGTTAAGACAAGTCCAACGCGAATACAGTTTTTTGTCATACTATAAGATTATAGATTTCGGTATTGGTTTCCTACGTTACTAACTTTCAAGCAGTTCGTGTTCATGGTCCACCGCATGTTCACTTGCCCGGGCATCAAGTCTCCACCTATCTACTGGTCAGCCAATCTGCGAATTCCGTTTGCTGACTGGGCAGATCCCAAATCAACGAGAACACCTAGGCATCGCTTCCAATCATTTGGATGTTAGTCAGAAGCAGCTAACATACATGTACCGCCGGGGGAGGAGCATGAATATTTCAATGTGCCTATATGTACTCTGTAGGATACCATAACTTGAAATACACCTACAGAAAACAACTGTTTCGGCATATTGTTTATTGTCCTGCAGGTTGTTTGCTGCCTCCCATACTTATTATTAATAGGGCTTTACAGTTGTGTACTACATTCCAAATAATTTTGATTGTGTAACCGTGTATTGAGTCATGTAATTAGCCATAGACTATTTAGCAACCCGTGGCTCCATACATATTGAAAGCTTGATATGATTCGACAAGAAATGTCCCGATGTATTAGTCCAACGACCAGACTTTTCCTGTTTATCTGGTAAGGTTAAATATACGACTATAAGAATTGAGGTCCTAGGATCTCAAATTTACTAGTGAGAAACTGTACTCCACGCTCTCGGACCACTGCTGTCAATATCTTGTTAGTAAGCCTTGTATAGTCTGAAGTAATTGGAGGCTTTGAACTAAATTAGTGCCACGATGAACGGCTAAATGAATGGTTTTTGTGATGGTAAAATGGACGATCATGTTGACTGAAAAGTGACAATAGGGAACCCGTTCTGGGTTTGCGAAGACTGCGGCTGAGGAGAATAAGGAGCAGCGAAAAGTCCACATCCGCGGAATTGTCATCTCTGAAGGAAAATTGAGTACTCCTTGATCTTATGATCGCAATGGTACAACCATTGAGTATGATTGTTGTTGACTGTTGCAGCTTTCTGAAAGTTAGGAAAAATGGTTTTGCAGGGGACTGATTTCAGTTTGTTCCAACTCTCCCCAATATCAGTCAGGGGCGAAGTGTTTAGGCAGTTTACTGGAACTAGCAAAGTTGGAGACCGTCTAATTAGGATAAACCTTGACGAGCCTATAACTCGACGTAGATCAATGCAATCGATTGATCTTTCCTCATTGTGTACAGACCTGTCATTAGATGAAACGAACACATGCCTATGCCGATGTTTTAGTAGGAAAACGTCCGTGTGGGTAGTACATTCAATTTGTTCAAACAATTAACCTTTTTGCGTAATCACAATACATTTGCTTTGTAAAATATATCTTCAGAAGGACGGAAATGCAATGGGGACATCTGTTGCATTGGCATTTATTAATTTTTCAAAATTCAAACGTGAAACAATCATTTTGAGACATAAATGAGACGGTAGCTGGAAAACTTGAACGAGATTCGACCAGAAGCAAATTTTACTAGGACAAAAGATAACGGGCAATAATCTACCGTATCCATATATATATATTTATTTATTTATATGTACATATATGAGTATTTATATATATATATATATTCCAAACCCAGCGAAAGTTCTGGGAAGTTTATGATGCACGCAATAGAGACAGGATGCGGTCAGTACATTATTCAACTAAT